TGTGTGTGTGTGTGTGTGTATATACTGAGAGGTAATAATATAATAACGACACAAAAAATGTGTGCTTGTTATCCTGTATTTTTCCACAACTAGTATCGATAACTTTAGTATCGATAAATGTGGAAACCGTGATATTTCCTCTTACAATAATCGTGGCACTAAAATTTCATATCCTGACATGGTATTTCAAAATATAAAGTGGTTGTAATGCTGCTGTTTTATATTGACATCAGTCTCCAGTCTATATTGTATAAATATTAGGGAGACTTAAAGGAATGACATTAGCCTTATGCACGTACTAAAATATTATTCTATGGTATTAATTTCACATATAACGAAAAACCAAATTGTTTCATAATCAATCAAGTATCACGACTTTGCAAAGATCATGAAAGACACTGTCTTTTCAATAGAAAGAAACTCATGGGCCTTGAGGAAATAACCTCTTTTGTGGAGGAGGAAATGTTTGGCTGTGGTCGACCAGGTTTCGTAGTTTCTCAAGAACGTGTGAGATTGGTAATCAAGATTTTGGATCCCGATTTGTTTTTCTCCATTAGTCTTTAAATTTGATTATTAAATAACTGTGATGTAGAGTGCAGGACATTTGTCAGTCAAAAAAATAACCTGTTAATGCTTGCTCCCTATGACATTACTGTGTGAATTACATTGAACATATTTATGTGTTCCTGTACTGCAGTGTTGTTGCTTATCAGCCATCAATCTGTGAAAGCAATATAAGAAACAAATGATTGTTACTGGTTGTGTACCATTTCATTGTGTAAACAGCAGCTGTTAGGCTGAATGTCTGCCTCGTGAAGATGCATCCAAACAGCTCGAGGAAAAACATTTTCTTCCTGGGATTTTACGGCTCGTCTGCTGCACTTGATTACTCTTCTGAATCTTCTTCCGTGCTTAGGGCGCAACACATTCAGTTACAAAATAAGTAACCATGTTATTTAAGCCTGTGTTCCTGCTTGATCAGTTTTGGTCCAGGATAATGGCCTCACAAGCACATAATTGATTGTTGTTTTGTTGGAGCACCTTGTGTTTCCGGTAATGGTCAAAGAACGGCTAAAATTAGCACTTTGAGCCCTGCCTGCAGGCTTACTAACATGTGCACCTGTAAGTGGTCAGGAAATGAAGGATGAATGTGCCTAGAAATAAGTAAATACAAGTCAGAAGGAGAACAACATCTCAGTGCTTGTTGTTGTGTATGTAATGACTGGGTTTGCACAATAATTTGTTTAAAGAAAAGCTGGCTGATCAGTCTGTGATAATGATGGTGATTTTGATTTGTTTACAGGCTCGGAGGTGGACCAGACGATGCCAAAGATGTGATGAGCCACAAGTTCTTCACCTCCATCAACTGGCAAGATGTCACTGAAAAAAAGGTGACACTGGTTAAAACACCAATGTTTTAACAGCACGTGCAGTCTGTTCTGTTTGCAATGGGATGTTTGCTTGTCCTGTGGTAATGATGGTTGCAGCTTTCTCTCTCAAACTGTAAATGTGAGCTGCAGTCATTGAGCTGCAGCAAGTTCAGGCTACAACTATGCAACTACTCTTTAAGTTGAAAATGGCGTTTCAAGACTTTTTGGCTGTCGTTGTTTCCAAACTTCTCTGTTTCTGCCCGTCCAGACTAAAATACACATGGGGCCAGCAGCATTTCAAAACTTTTCAGTTGTAGCAGCTCTGAAATCCCAGAGAATTATGGAAGCGGGGCATTTTCAAAGGAATGCGTTGTAGTGGGGAATTAGCCAAAGGCAGGCTGCTGGACTGCAGAACCCTGAAGCTGCATCACCGCTGCTGCACAAAGAGCTGTTCACCTGTTTATTAAGCTCGACTCAGAAGAAAGAACCCCGAACTGGGGAGTCAGAAAGCTGTCTGTTAATTCAGCGTTTATTAATATAGAATGCATCATGTGTCCAAAATGTACCAGATTCAACACTGCACTTCCTCTGGCCCTTAACAACACACATGCCAAGCGTGAGGCCAATAAGATGAACTGTTCTCGAGATGTGCATTCCAAGTACAAGCAGATAGATATCTGGAATTGTATGACAGATAGATGATGATGAGTTTAACATTTGTGATTTTCATCTTCTATTCAGCTTATTCCACCATTTAAGCCCCAGGTAACATCAGAGACAGACACACGCTACTTTGATGATGAGTTCACAGCACAAACCATCACGATAACTCCTCCAGATAAGTGTAAGTAGATCTGCTCCAGTCCACCTTCTATCTGTGGTTAAAGATTTGATTCACATGTTACTTGGGAACTGAGTTTTAACAACGTTTTGAATTGTTTTTTTCTCTCTCTCTCTCTCTCTCTCCCATTGTGCATACTCCAGATGACAGTTTAGATCCAGAGGATTCAGATCAGCGTACGCACTTCCCTCAGTTCTCCTACTCTGCCAGCATACGGGAATGATCACTCAGACTCTTGAACAAGCAGGCAGACTAACACACAATCACAATCTCACATAACACGCTCGCACTGCTGGAGGGAATCCGAACGACACAAACCAAAACTGGCACAAGACACATTTTCAATTTGGTCTTAAACGCACGTGCACGCACAGGCGCACAGATATCCACATACACATATTGGCAAATCAGACAAGATGTGGATCATCGAGTATGAAGTGAACACACAGGCTGTGAATGACTGACCTCAGCAGGTTTGTGTGCATAGACTGGCAGCTTTGTCTCTGTACGTCCTCTCAGGGCTGGCGTTAGGCTTCCCTGCAGGACCTCTGCTGCACTACACTGGGCAACACATCAGAGCCTTGACACTTTGAAAACCAGGTTATGCCAGCAAGTCCCACCTCTTTACCAGCTGTACCCTTGCTACACACACCAACATCAACCAGCCCATGCATAGACTACATACTTAGACACAAACACAAATGTACTTGGTAGAATTTTAACAAAATTAGGAAAGATTCATCAATTGTTACAGTTTTAAATGTAAAGCCATATTTCTGCTTTTTTTTTTCTTTCATTTTTTTAACAAGTGCTCTTTCTGGAACTTGCTGTTACAAATCAAGTGTGGGACAGTTCCTACCGTTGGGGGAGGGGGGAAACAGGGGGAGGGCGAGGAGGAGGGTTGCCATTTCTGTGTTTGCACTGCGTGTGTGTATGGGTGTGTGCATATGAGTGCAGGAGAATGTGTGAACAACCATTATCTTTATTTGATTCTCAACCATCCATTTGTCTGCTTTTATGCATGTTTTTAAAAAAACAACTCAAAACTGTTGCTGGTATATTGAGGAGAAGACACTACATGGCACAATCAATGGCCTTTTTTTTTTTTTTTTTAAAGGGAACAAGCATGTAACTTATGATCGCTTTGATTGGCTTGGCGCTAAAATTGACTCAGTCAAGATTAGAAACTGAGATCTCATGCATGGCTAATCTTTGCTTTAAATGCTGCATTAATTTAATTCAAAGTGAAACAGCGGTCAGGCTCTTGGGAGTCCAGACTGACCGACCGACGCTGCTGGTCGGAGGCGTACGTTTTTCATTAAGGCCAGTTTTGCTCTGTGTTAAAGACAGGATTCATAGAAGGAAAGAGGGAGCGAGAGACTGTACGCTTAATCACAGTTTTTCCCCCAACCCGTCTCAAGAGACAAATGTAGACATACACAGCCGGTCCAGTGATTCTCACTCCCTAGTCGAGGAGTTAGGAACCAATCTTTTGTTCATTTTCTATTTTTTAATAT